TACATGGTAAAGAGTAATTTTCATCCAAAAAGGGAAACATCAAGCATAATTTACATTTTATAGTCATATAGAAATATTATTAGTAATACTGTATTAAGTGATTAAAAAACAGAACTGAATAAAATGGCCACTTGCTTCTAATTAGTATCACAATTCACTTGACAGACCTGGAGTTTCCTTAAGGAGGTTTTGCTTTACTAATTCTTTCTGAGATTGTCATTCCCATCTCCCACGTAGTTTCAAACATGGACCAGCTGCCTGCTATAGCAGATGAGCCGTGTGGTAGGCTTACACAAAGAAATGCCATAACCTCCCCCCCCCCCAAAAAAACCCCTATAATATAAACAGCATTTTTAAAGTAAGAACTATTCTAATAAAATTGTCCAATAGTGATACCTTTGAAAACAAAATATTGAAGTCAGCCTTGAAATATCACTTAATACAGTATGAAATTTCCTTTTATGAGATTTGACTTTCTATGTAATTCATGGCCTGATTCTTACAAACCAGTGAAAAGTGCTGTGAATAGAATATATTGTACTAGTTGCTCAAGATGCTTTTGATTATCCATTAACACACTTGAGGATTATAAGATTACATTTTAGGTTTGAGTAAGATTTTTAAATGTAGAATCATATCTGAAAATATTATATCCAATTACATGTTATCTTTTAAATTTATCTAAATTCTTAGAAATATCTCACAGTACATTTTGAAGCAATAAATTGAGGAAAAATTCATTTAAAAACATTATTTCAAAACTCCTTATTAATATCAAGTAGAAAAAAATTTTATTTTTACTATACCAGGGAATAATTTTAAATAACTCCCAAATCAACTACTTGCCACACAGAATAATATATTATTAGCAGACAATTCTGCCTCTTGTCCAAACAAACCATTTCATTAGTCTCTCATTTTTTTGTGAAAATAAATATTTAGTAAAATAAACGACTGATATAACTAAATTCCAATGAAAAGCATTAAACAATTATTGGAGAAGCAGCTTTGGCCATCAATATTATTAGAGGAAATAAACAGTTTAATTTTAAGAGGTTTTTTATAATCTTGCTGGGAATGAGTATTGTAATTTTAAGAATAGAAATTCTGTATTTGTTTCCTCAGAATCTGAGCAATAGATCTAGAAATAGACAAGAGAACCCAAATTATACTAGTCTTCTGTCCCATGAAAATGGATTTTCTACAATGTTCTTCAGTACTTCACTAATATTATTGTGTGCATCACTCATAATTGTGAACATCAACTAACAAAATATTTGGAGAAATTTTTTAACACTTTGAATCATTTGTGACATCAATAAAGGCAGAGTTCTTTCCAAATTTTTTTCTCTTAAAACTCTTCCACAATATATTTTTGTACTATTATTGCCTCTTCCTCTCAATTTATTTTTAATATCTTCCAAATGACAAAATGCATGCTCATTATAGAAAACTTGAGTAATAAAACTAAAAGGAAACTATCCATAATGCCATAAATTCTTTCTTCCAGGATATTGTTGAAATTACAGTCTGACCAAGGTGTTTTACATATTTTTCAATTCAGGAAAGATCTTTATCTCACTTAGGTTTTAATAAATTTGGTTAACACACATGGAGTACTTATGGTTAACTGTACCTATTGTGGTTACTAAGAAAGCAATTTAAGTATTGCCTAGCCAGTACAGTTGAATTAAAAACATTTAATGTTGCAATAATTTCATTCCACTGTAGGTATTTCTTCTTCACAAACAGATAAATGATAGCTATCACATACACAAAGTGTTATTTTATAATATATCAATAGTAAGTTATTTTTTTTAAAGACTTATTTATTTGTACATACAGAACTGGGGTACAGGCCAAAGGCTCAGGGGCGGCAAAAGGCTTCGCCGGAGACAGAGTGGGGAACAGAACAGGCAGATTGATGAAGTACACTGTTGAGGGGAGCAGCGGGCTGGTCAGGAGAGGTCTGCCACGCCATGTGGTCACCTCCGGGGCAGGCGGGAAGCGAACTCATGCGGAAGTGGCTTTAGCTTCTTAGTGCTGTGCTTAACCCACTGCGACACCAGGAGGCCCTAAGTTACTATTTTTTTTAAAGATTTATTTATTTGTTCATACAGAGCTGGGGTATAGGCCAGAGGTTCAGGTGTGGTGAGAGGCTTCACCAGAGACAGAGTGGGGAGCAGAACAGGCAGATTGATGAAGTACACTGCTGAGGGGAGCAGCTGGCGGGTCAGGAGCCACTCCATGTGGTCACCTCCGGGGCAGGTGGGAAGCGAACTCATGCGGAAGTGGCTTTAGCTTCTTAGTGCTGTGCTTAACCCACTGCGACACCAGGAGGCCCTAAGTTACTATTTTTTTTTAAAGATTTATTTACGCATACAAGAAAGGGGGTACAGGTCAGAGGTGCGGGAGTTGAGAGGATTCACTCAAGAGAGTGGGGGAGAAGAACTGGCAGATCAACTGAAATACACTGCTGAAATACACTGCTGAGGAGAGAAGCAGGCAAGACAGGAAAGGTCTGCTGCGCCATGTGGTCAGCTCCCGGCGCCATGTGGTCAGCTCCCTGGCAGGGGATAGAACTCGTGCTGCAGTGGCTGCAGAGAGCTTCATAATGCTGTGCTTGAGCCTCTAACCCCTTGCACCACTAGAGAAGCCCAAGATATTATTATTTTCACTTTACAGAATAAAGTCTAAAATCAATGGCAGAACTCAGGTGCCATTCTCTCTGCTCTCTCTGCTCTTTTTACTGTTATCCAATACTGTGCAATAAATAGCATAATCTGCTCAAGTGAGGCCTGAAGTATACCCCATCATTTTTTTTAAAAACAAGAATCAATAATTCTGTAAACAATATCTAAATGTGTAAAAATATTATTATTTCCCAAAATAGAGGCTGAAATTTTGAATTATTTCATTAGTGGTCAGACTATTTTTAAAAGCAATTTGTACAGATTGCTGATTGTTTTTCTCAATGAATGGTTCAAATTATAATTCAAACAGCAGAGTAAGAAGCTTCTTGCTTCGCTATGTTTTTGCAAACCTTGGCTAATTTAATATATGACAGCTATTCTCTGTTGCTAAATTTTTTTTAAGATTTATTTATTTGTGCATACAGAACTGGGGTACAGGCCAGAGGCTCAGGGGTGGCCAGAGGCTCAGGGGTGGCGAGAGGCTTCACCAGAGACAGAGTGGGGAGCAGAACAGGCACATCGACGAAGTACACTGCTGAGGGGAGCAGCGGGAGGGTCAGGAGAGGTCTGCCACGCCATGTGGTCACCTCCGGGGCAGGCGGGAATTGAACTCATGCAGAAGTGGCTTTAGATTCTCAGTATGGTGCTTTAACCCGCTGCGCCACCAGGGAGGGCCACTCTGTTGCTAAATTTTAAAAAAATATTGCATGATTCACCATTTCAATATATCAATTCTCCATTGTATAGAATGAAACTGATGTCAGAACTGAATAAATCCCTGTAAGAAATGGGAAGACACAGGAGTTGTCTTTAGACCTTTCTTCCCTTCATTCATTTGATAGTTACCCAGTTTCTACTCTAAGCCATGTATCATGTTGTTCAGTATATAAAAGGAAAGCTCATCTGTCAGTTTATAAACTAGCAAGAGAAACAGGCACAAATAAACAATCACAGTACAGCATGAACAGTACTGTCAACAAAGTAACAAAGAGGAAAATAGTTTGAGAAACACAGAGGAGGGTACTTAATCCAGCTTCAGGAGGGTTCTGGAAACCACTTTGGAGATGCTGAGGCTTAAGCTCATCTTTTTAAAAAGCCAGTTAGCCAGAATTTCCCCAATCAGAATTAACTGCTTTTTCATCTGTGTTCCTGCACTAAATCAGATTACACTTACTGTTTCCACATCTCTCACTGACTCACTGGACTGAGATTTAGGAAGGGGTTATACCCCTAATTACTATAACTACCCCCCCCCCAAAATACTAGGAATGCAGCATACATGTGAAATTATTGTGAATTCTAGCCTCACATGTATATTCTCTCATACTTTCCTCTTCACATTTGAATAAATGTGTGGTTTTCCACTTGATTGTAAAAATAGTAGTAATCCCTCTATACCCATCAGAACACTAAAAGGAAAAGATGAAAATAGTAAGCTTTGGTGATGGACCTGGAGCAACAGAAATGATCATATGTTGCTGGAGGGAGTAGAAATTGGTACAACCAGTTTGGGAAAACTATTGTTATCTATTAAAGCTGGATGATACCTTATAAACTAGCTGCTCCACTCCTAGTATTTTACTCAACATAATACCAACACATGCAAAAAATTCACCAACCATATTTTCACCAAAAGTGGCACTAATTATAACGGCTCCAAAATAGAAGACACACAGATGCTCAACAACAGAAGAATGTATAAACTTATTATGGTGTGGTTATGCACAACAAAGAAAGGAATCTACGCTCAACAATATGAGAGAATTTTACAAAACTATGTTGACAGCAAAGAGCTCGATTCTTTAAGTACTTATCATATGTAATACTTTTCTATAAAGCATAAAAATAGGAAAAACTATTCTATGCTACTAGAAGTTAGGAAAGGTCAGTTAGTAGTAGGAAGTTAATAAGCATAAGAGGACAGAAAACGGAGCTTGTGGAAGTGCTGACTGGGAAGGTTCTGCTTCTTGATCTGAGAATTGGCCACAAATATGTCTCTGCCTTTTTCTGTATGTATTTTCTATTTAGATTTTTTTGAAAATTTTCTTATTTGAAAACTGGAAAAACAGAAATAATTTTTGACATTTAAGTCACCCTAAATCCATCATTCAGAGCTTCAGTTAATCCATATCCAGTATTTCTTGTAAACATGTCTTTAAAATGATTGCAATATATTCCATCAAATATAGATGCTCTAGTGCTTTAGCCAATTCCTCAATGTTGCATAGCTAAAGAAACAAACGGAAATTTAAATATCTGTTATATATTGATATATGTCACACCTCTCCCTTCCCAGCACGCGGGCTCGCGGTTATCGCCCGGGCCTCCACAGTGCAGCAGCGCGCACACGTCACCCGGTTGCCATGGGAACCGCGGAGCGGAGCTGGCCCGACGGACAGCCAGCAAGAGCGAGGCCTGGATATGGAGCTCCCGGACCCTGTCCGTCAGAGGCTGGGAAACTTCAGCAGGGCCGTGTTCAGTGACTCCAACCGGACCGGGCCGGAGTACGGCGAGGGTCCTGGTGAGTGGCCGAGGCCCAGTGTAGAGGGTTAACCCGCATAGACCTGGTGCGGGTTATAGAGCGGCCAGATTTTGCCAGGACCTAAAATGGCGGTTTCGCCTTCGGCTGGTTCTCCGCAGTGCGGAAGCGCCTCGCAGGAGGGGCCGGGCGGAAGGCAGAGGGCTGATTCTTGTCTGTCCACTGCTGATCTTGCTGAGGTGCGACCGCGAGCCGGTTAGCTGAGGTAGCGCCGGCCTTTCTCAAAAAATAAAAATATAAAAGCCGCCTCCACGGCATTCGTGCGGTCTTGTGGCCTCCGCGAACGCCCACGTAGACTTTTCTGGTCTGGAGAGAACTCAGCTCAAGAAATCTCCCTGCCCATTGCTTTTCTCAATTTGTAACAGGAGAAGTAAGCTGCGCCGCAAGTCCAATTTACTGGCAGAAGAAATGGCAAATGTTTTGAGACACTTTAAGCCGCTATCCTCTCCAGAATGACAGCTGCCGCTTTAACACAACCTTCAGTAAAACTCTTCCCTTTCCTGCCATCACCTCCCCATCCCTTGTACATAATGATCTTCCTAAATCTGGTAACAAAATACCAAGATGATGCATTCGGCATGACAACTGAATAACGCAGTGTTCTTTATAGTACCCTCTTAAATCATGACGATATACAATATACTGTCAAACCCAAGTGGTTTTTATCACTGAACTCTGACTCGGAAATAGAAGTCGTTTCCTCTTGCTTTATGAAAGATTTTTTTGATAAGGGATGGGGGAAGTCAAGTCAATTCCCACAGTTGCATTTTGTGACCTGATGACTTGCCTGTTCCTAATTTAGATCTTTCATGATTTAGCATGCACTGAGAAGAACAATTTGAAAAATGGTCTTAATGCTCAGGTTTAATAGGAGCTAAAATCTGATGGTACAAGAAATCAGGATCAATTGACGTTTCCTGTAAAGAGCCAGATATTAACATTTTAGACTTTTCAGGCATAGGTCTCTGTAGCAGTCATAAACAATGGTAACTAAGTGGATATGACAGTGTTCCAAGAAAATTTTATTTAGACATACCAAAAATTTGAATTTCATATGATTTTCATTGTTTTGGGGTGTGGGGAAAGGTTCATTCACCATTTATAAATGTGAAAAAAACATTTTTAGTAACTGGCTAGTCGTATCTCTATCCTTGATTCACAGTTTTGAGATATATATATAGCTCATTATAGTTTAAGTTCCATTTATAGAATTCAAATGAAAAGAAAAAAAACAAAAATGGCACTTTTGCAAAATTTAATAGATCAAGTTCTTGTATTTTCAAGGTTTATTTACATATTAACTTAATTTTTCAATTACCTGATTAGGTTGACGACCTGAGGTATAGCATCACTCTTAAGATGTTCATATTCAGAATTTCTAACATAAAAATCTGAGGCTAATGAATGAATTTTCGAATTTAACACATTTTAGGAATTCATTTATCAGCAGTAATTTAATAAATAAGAGCAAACAAAAATGGATCATAATAATAAGGTCTCATATACTTGTATCAAATGGAAACTTTGATGTGAGAGATCATAAAATTATTAAATGATAAATATTAAATACTCAGCTGTGAAGAAAAAGAAAAAAATAGCTTTTAAGAAATTTCTTTTAGAACCTTTATATATTTTTTTCATTTAGATCAATGGATTAAAGTATATGTGTGCTCTTCAATTGTTCAAATTTAAATTTAAGGGTGCTTTTGTAGAGCTCAATTTTAAAAATCAAACTTAACTTAGAACCTTCTTCCTTTCTGAGAAAAAAAAGGTAGTATGTAATAGCATTAGATAAATGAAATTTTTGTATCACAAATGGTTACACTGATAATATCCTTATGACATTGTTTCCATTAATTCATTCACTCTGCTTTCATTACTGTTTGTAAAGTAAGATGCTGGGGTCTATGGGGATCTCAAATGTGGGTAAAATACTTACAGTTAATCTATATATTAAGTAAGAGAACGAAATGGAACTAATATTTATTAACCCCTAAGTTCTAGGCACAGTGCTGGAGTGAAATGATTTGTATTTTTTCTACTACAGCAATCTGTGAGGTAATTTGGTTGATTAATTGATTTACTCCTGTTCTCTCTCCCCTTGCCCTCTCTACTTTAGAAACCTCTTTATTAGTGAGGTTGTAAGTCTTTTGCTTTGTTGAATTTTCCATATGCAAACACCCAATATTTGTCTGTTATTCTGACAATTTTACTGCAGCCAATTCCCTCAGCGCCCTTCCATTTTTCCTATAAATATCAACATTTCATCCTTCCTGTCACTGAATAGTATAACACACCTTCCTGATCCAGTCTTCTAGTGGGCACCTAGATTGTGTCCATGGCCTAACTGTTGTAATTAATGCTACAATAAACAATGTAGAGCATGTAATTTTGAGTTGATAATTCCATTTTCTTCAGATGGATGCCCAATAGTAGGATTGCTAAACCATATGGTATTTTCATTTTTAGGGTTTTTTTTTTTGCTTTCCAAAATGGCTGCACCAGCTTGCATTCCCACCAACAGAGTAAATAAGGTTCTTTCTTCACATCCTCTCTAGTATTTGTTGTTGCTTTTTTAACCTGTGACATTCTCAAAAGGATGAGATGATAGCTCACTGTGGTTTTGATTTCCATCTCTATTGAGGAACATCTTTCCATATCTCTGTTGACCTTCTGAATATCTTCCTTTGGTGAATTATTCATATCTGTTTATGGATTAATTGGGGTGGTTAGGTTTTTTTTTTTTTTCTAAGTTAAATAAGTTTTTTTTTATAAATCTTGAATGTTAACCCTTGTTGGCTGTGCCATGTGTGACTATTTTCTGCGATTCAGTAGGATGTTTTTAATCTATTTTAATCTATTTCTATTTTTTTCCACTGTGCAAAAGATTTTAAATTTGAGGTAATTCCAATTATTTTGGCTTTTATTTCCCTTGCTATATGTGGTCACGTCTTCAAAAACATCTTTATCATTAATCTTACATCACTAAATATATATATTATTATTGCAGGTTATATGTCTAAGTCTTTAACCAATTTAGAATTTATTTTTGTGCATGTAGTTAGAAAGTGACCCAGCTTCACTCTTCTACATATCCTGTTCAGTTTTCCCAGCAACATTTGTTAAAAAGACTCTCCCATTGAATGGCTAAGGCCATTTTTTATTGTAAATTAAGTATCAATACATATGTGGGTTGTTTCAGGACTTTGGATTCTGTTCTTTTGGTTCATATTGTTTTAATTACTTTTGCTTTATGATATAGTTTTAAGTCAGATACTTTGAATTCTCTATTTTTCTCAGGAATTCTCTAGCTATTTGAGACCTTTTATGGTTCTATACAAATTTAATAGTTTTATTCAAGTTCATTGACAAGTATGTTGGTATTTTAATGGTAGTTGTATTAAATTTATATATCACTTCAGATAGAAATCATTTGGAATATGTTGACTCCTCCTCCCCCCATCCACGAGCTATACATTTATCTCATTTCATTATGATCTACATACATTAATATCTTACAGTTTTCATTTATTTCACTGCTTTGGTTTATTCCTAGGTGTTTGAATTTTTTTCATGCAATTGTAAATGAAATTGTTTTTATTTCTTTTTCTTTACATTCATTTTTTTCATATAAAAATACAACCAATTTTTGTGTGTTGATTTTGTAGGCTGACTCCTTGCTATACTCATATATTTTTCCTAATAGCTTTTCTAATTTTATAAATACATTTTTTACATTATTCTTCATTTTGTACATTGTTTCTCAGTTGTAAATCTGACAGGTTTTTCTTGTAGTTTTTAGGGTTTCTATAGATAGTACCATATCATCTGCAAATAATGAGTTTTACTTCTTTTCAAATTTGGAAAAATTAAAACTTGGAACTTAATGAATCTGCACTGTAGTTACTAATTCTAAGGAACTAAAGAACTTCTGGGGCATAGATCAAGATTAATAGTTTGTTCCTTTTCTTATTTCCACTGTAGATAATGAAATGGTCTCCAGTTTGGAACTGCAGATGTCACTTTATTTTAACACTTACTTTTTCCCACTTTGGTGGGTAAGCAGTGTTACGATGCTTCAGATGAAGGTCAGTGTTTGCTCTAATTCTTCTACTGAAACCTTTTCTGACCATTGGCATACTGTTAATAAAATTAAAAGTTCTTAACATTTCCTTTTTATTTTAAGGTCAGTTTTACTACATGTAAAATTTTACAAACATTTTTAATTTTTATTTTTTAGTATTCAATCCTGCCTGATTACTACAAATTCATTGTAGTCACTGTTATCATCCTAATAACCCTAATTGAAGCTATCCGATTGTATCTGGGCTACATGGGTAACCTACAGGAGAAGGTAGGCTCTTCTTTCCTTTCTCTCAGCACTACACATACAAATACAGAGGAAAGGGCTAGAGTTAAGTCCTGGCTCCAGCTTTAATACTTCCTTTAGTATGGTTAGTTTAATCTCTTGAGGCATGGTATCTTCATGTATAAAATGGGGGAAATATTCATTTCACAGGCTTGTTGGGATTAAATGAAATACAAAAGGGAAAATAATAATGAAAAAAGAATTTAAGGTAAAGAATTTAAGGTTTGGAGAAAGGTGAGCAAGCAAAGAAATAATTTCTGTAAAATACTTGAACACAGTAAGCACCGAAGAATTGATCATTTTCCCTCCTCTCATCGGTTTTGAAAATACTTGGTCAATTATATATGCTATTTGGAATCTGAATAAGAAAGTGGGAGAAAATTATAAATGCTTTTTCTGTGCCAGGCACATTATTTTCTGAATATTCTTGATGCCTAAGTATTTCCCATTACCAGAGTTTAAGGATAAAACCTAAAGATTTTATGGTTTTCTAGGCCTTTCATAATTAGGCACCATCCAGCATGCCTCACTGTATTTCTTGCTGTTTCCTCACCCCAGCACCCTGGGCTCAAATGACGATTCCCAGTCATGCTCATCCCACTCCTTTGCTTGCTTACCGTTTTTCCTTGTTGTCCTTCTCTGAACCTTAAGTTCTTTCCCCTTCTTTCCTTCCAGTTTTGAGACATAATTCACATATAACATAGTGTACATTTAAGCTGTACAACAAAATAAATTGAGATACATGCACACATATACAGCAAAATAATTGCCACAGTAAGTTTATTCATTTTACACAGAAAGATTTTTGTCCTTGTGATGAGATCTTTCAGTATTTACTTGTTTAGCAACTTTCAGATATAGTGATCAATAATTTTGATACCCATGATTTATTTATCCTCTGGCAGTTTGTGTCTTGTAGACATCATCAACTACTCCTCTAACTCTACCTCCCACCTCTAGAAACCAATAACATGGCCACTGTTTCTATGAATTTGGTTTTTATGATTCTACGTAAGTGATATCATAAGATATCTATTTCACTTAAAGAGTGTTACTATTTCACTTAACATAATGCCTGTATGGCCCATCTATGTTGCCATAAATAACAGGATTTCTGTTTTTATGGCAGAATAAAATTCATTTTTTACCATCCTGGTCACTTTCTTGATTCTTATACCATTCAGTATATATCTTTACATATTGTGCTTAATTTTTCACTAAGTTATAGTATTCTATTGTTGTCACACGAGTCAGTTTGTTCTTCTCATCTAGAATTTAAGTTGTCTGAGAACAAAGAGCATGCTACTTTTTAATTATTCTCAGAGCCCATGAAGTGGGTTCATAACAGTGCTAACTATTTACTTATCTGTATAAGCAAAAGCTGTACTTTATTAGTCTTAATTGTGTCATTTCAGGTTCCTGAGTTGGCTGGCTTTTGGCTTTTGAGCCTTCTTTTGCAGTTGCCGTTAATTCTTTTCTTGCTCTTTAATGAGGGCCTAACAAATCTGCCCTTGGAAAAAGCAGTGCATATTATCTTCACTATGTTCCTTACTTTTCAAGTTGTTTCAGCATTTCTTACCTTGAGAAAAATGGTAAATCAGTTGGCAACTCGTTTCCACCTTCAAGATTTTGACCAGCTTTCTGCAAATAGAAGAGATACAAGAAGAATGAGATCCTGTGTAGAAGAGCTTTGACTCAGTGCTTTTTGGTGAAAAATTTAAAAGAATGTGCTAGAGTGCTAGAAGACTGCAAGAGTTAGGAAAACATTAGATCGCTAGCATGAGAAAAAGGACAATCAAGGTTTTGAATTATATACTCTCCAGCTCTTAAATTTCAAACTTTGGGGCAATGATGAAAGACTGTACTTGAAAAGAACCCTAAAATCTAGATGTTGTCCACCTGATGCCAAATATCTTAATTATTTTGGTTGCTGTTGTCAACTTTTTCAGATGTGTAGAAATCTGGGACAGAGGTCACAGTTTAGCAACTTTAATATTTCTAGACAGTAGCACCTGTAACTACAAATAAATATATTTCATTTAAGCTTGTTGGCTGTCCAAATTTTGGTTGTACATTTGACCATGTTTCTTAGGGTACCTAGAATATTCTTGTGTACTAGACTGTATTTATAAACCAAATTTTCTTAGGTGCCAGGGTTAAATTCTAACCCTAGTGTTAGCTGTTATTCTGAGTAGAAGAAAACTAGTAAATTATGGTACTTTGGAAATATTTTTTATCATAAAGTTGTTATTTTTTATAAAGCCATGTTCAGTATTTATGGTGCTGGTGTGTAAAATGTCATTACAATAAAGAATTTGTGTTAAATTATTAGCAACAAACTATTCCTTTCTTTTGCAGTTCTTTTGGGCAGTAGATTTTTTTCTTCTTATTACAGAGTTGCTTGCAATGGAAGGAGGATATAATAAATATTAAGGACTTTACATAGTGGCACTGCACTAGGCACAACAACCCTTACCTCACTACTCTATATCACTTTCACTGAAGAACTGTTTTATAGCAGGGAATTCACATGAAGTTTGATTTGAAAACCAGGGTCCCATGTTTAATAGAGCTAAGATGGCCAAAGGAATTAAACTCAAAATCTCAAATGAGGATGTTTCCCTCTGAAGGAAACATGTTATTTTATACATACCTATATATTTTATGCATACATATATAAACACATACATAAAATTCATTGTATAACATATAAATATATGATGTCTATTTTGTGTATATATATATAATATAATGTAAATGAGGGATAGTTGCAGCTACCTTTAAAATGATTCACTACAATTTTCCTTTTATGACTCATGATCATTTAAGGATTGCCATGTTCAATTCCTGGCCAGGGAGGTGACCCATATGATGCAGCAGACCTCTCCTGTCTTCACCCACTGCTTCCCTCAGCAGTGGATTTCAGTTGATATGCCTGTCCTACCCCCCACTCTGTCTCTGGTGAATCCTCTCAACCCCCACACCTCTGACCTCTGACCTGTACATCAGTTTTTGTATGCATAAATAAAATCTTTTTTTAAAAATCTGAACTTCTCATTTTTAAAAATGAACTTCTCATTTTTAATTACACTTCCCAAACTATTGATACTAATTTTATTATTTCTGCTTATTTTTATTAATGTAATATTTCATCAATTTCCTTCCCATGCACTAACTGATTACTCTTTACCCTAAACCAGTCTCTGATAGTCTCTGAGTGAAATACGAATCAAAACCACAATGAGATACCACCTTATACCAGAAAGAATGGCACATATTAAAAAAAAACAGGAAATGACAATTGTTGGTGAGAATGTAGAGGAAAAGGAACTGGCCTACATGCTGGTGGGAATGCAAACTATTCCAGCCACCATGGAAAGCTGTGTAAGTTTCTCAGACTACTAAAAATGGAGCTACTATATGACCCAGTAATTCCACTCCTAGGGATCTACCCAAAGGACACAAAAACATTAATTCAAAAGGATACCTGCACCCCTATGTTTATTGTAGCACTATTTACAATAGGTAAGATAGACAACTCAAATGCCCAAAAGATCAAGAAAAGAAAAAGAAAAGAAAAGATCAAGAAGATGTGGTACATACACGCAATAGAATATTAATCAGCAATCAAAAAAGATAAACTCATGCCATTTGCAGCAACATGGATGGAGTTGGAAGGGATTATGTTCAGTAAAAAAAAGATCAGAAGGAAATATATATATATATATATAATCAGGTGGTTTCACTTACAGAGGAATGTAGGGGAACCAAATAAGGGACCAGGAAAAAAATATTATAATAAAAAACAAAGTTAACAGGCAACTATTAATCAGGTACACTCTGCAGTGGATGGGGAAAAGACAAAATGGGAGGGAATGTGTTCTTACACAAGGGACTATGGAGATGGTGCATGAATGAATTGGTGGAAATTTTGCAAGGATTATACCTGACAGGAGAAAGCATGCAAAAAGGAATAATGATATAAAAATATATTTTTATAAAAGCAGTCCCTGAGTATTCTCCAGTAATTTGATATTCAAAATAGAATTCTGTTTGGATATTATTTTTTTTCCACATAGGAGTTTCTATAAGAAATTATATTTAAAAAAAAAACAACAGATAAATTAAGGCAGTGATCAAGAAAGAATTTCCTATTTAACAACTGTTTCCAGAGTTTGAAATAGCAGTGCTTCTGATACATTTAAACTTTAGGGTTAATAAATTAAAAGCTAAAATTCTAGAGTACTAATGTTAAAAAAAATTAATACTATAAAAATTTTAGGAAAATCAATTTGATTTATTAAAACTTTTCAAAAAGAATTTTCTTGCTATAATACAGATAAAATAAGGATGGGGAAAATGAATTTTAAAAGTTTGTTGGGAACATGACAAAGTTACTTATTTTTCAACTAAACAAATTTTGTATTAGGTTGAACCAATATTTTCTATCAGATATATCTGTCAGACATTTTCTACTAGGTATATAGAGTATACCTGAATCTCTATATAAGTACATGAAAATTGAGGTAGGGAAGGTAATTTCATGGCAAGCACCTTGGTGTTTAGGAGTCCTTATTTTATGTGAATAGTCTGTCAATCCTTAATTCCTATGACATCCTTCTTTCACTGTTATGAAAATTTCCAGTTAACTGTACAGAAAAAGAAACATTACAAAAAACAGACAGATAGCCCACTGACTGGGAAAAAATTTTCTCACACAAAACTAGCAATAAAGGATTGATCACAAAGATATCCAAAGAACTGATGAAACTCAACAAAAATAAACAACCCCATCAAAAAATGAGCAGGAGAGCTAAAAAGACACTTCTCCAAAGAGGAAATACAGACAGCCAACAAGCATATGAAAAAATGTTCAACATCACTTGTAATAAGGAAGATGCAAATTAAAACCACAATGAGATATCACCTCACCCCAGTGAGAATGGCACATCTTAGAACAACTAGCAACAACAAATTTTGGTGAGGATGTGGAGAAAAAGGAATTCTCCTCCACTGCTGGTGGGAATGCAAACTAGTACAACCACTATGGAAAACTATTTGGAGGTTTCTCAAACTGCTAAAAATGAAGCTTCCCTATGGCCCAGCAATCCCACTCCTACGTATCTACCCAAAAGACACAAACACTGATTCAAAAAGACCCTTGCACCCCCATGTTTATTGTTGCTTTATTTACAATCAGAAAGACATGGAAACAACCCAAATGCCCAAAAGTAGATGACTGGATTAAAAAGATGTGGTACATATACACAATGGAATATTATCAACAACCAAAATAAATACATGAACACATGCCTTTTGCAGCAACATGGATAGAGCTGGAAAAGATCATGCTTAGTGAAATAAGACAGAAAGAAAAGGAAAAATAATGGATGGTTTCATTCATAGCAGGAGTATAAAGGACCAGGTGAGAAAATAATAATGAACAACTATATACCAGAGACATTTTACAGGGGTGGACTGGGGAATGGGATCAAAATCGGAGGAAGGAGGAAAGTGCACTGACTATGGTGATAGCACATGGGTGATTTGGTGATGGGAAGCCCATGGGGATTACAACTGAGATGGAAAAAAGACAAAATGATGTAAAAATAAACTATTATTTTTAAAAAATGTCCAGTTAAGATATTGAGCTTCACAGATATGTTTGATATGACATATTTTTTCTTCTGGAAGCTTTTTCTTATCACATACAAGGTGGGTGTAAATTTCTGTAAACTAGACTGAATTTTAAAATCAGATTTTAATCCACATATATGAAGAGTAGTGGAGGGTTTGTAAACAAGTAAGACATGCTCAGGAGTACATTGTGGGATATGCAAGATATCCCAGTAGAAAGTTGAACTTCATCAGAGAGTTGTATTGAAAGATTTCTACCTGGTAAACATTTGAAAGGTAAGCTTCCAGCAAATCTCCCAGTATTTAGTGTCCAGGATTAGCACACTGGCTTTTCATCAACATCATGTAGCATTCACTATTCCTCTCATTGTCTGAGTGCAAGGATATAAGGTGATGAGGAGACAAGAGGATATGTAGTTAAACATCCATCCACTTGCTCAAACTTGCCTATACACACAGTAACAAGAGGACTGTCTGGAGGGAAAAGGGAATCAATAATAGTGCAATGTAATGGGGCACTGGGCATGTAAATGAGATAAGAAATCTGACAGTGTTTCTAAACAAAATAACACTTGAGATTTGTAATGAGTGAATGAATATTGGGTGTTAAATTCAGTACTGAGACAGTAGTAGTGATAATAGTGACTGTTAGCACTATTTCGGGTATTACAAATAATAAAGCTGGTGGGAAGTGTACATAAGGACACAGAATACGATAATGAAAAGAGGAGCTAGTAAACTAAGCTGAAACTACTAATGTTCTGGACCCCTCAATAAGTAGTAGAGTATCACAAACAGATTTGTCAGAAGTAACTCTTTAAAGACAGTGTGGAGAATGGAGTGAATTGTGTGAATAGCAATATACAAAAACCCAGGAGGCTAGAAGAGAGTGCCCAAATAAGCCCAACCAGCAAATTAAGCCTCTATGCAGCTCTTATCTCAGGAATATTGCTTCGCCACCCCAAAGACAGGAACAAGGTTCTTCAGCACAGATACAAGGGGATGTGGGCCTTGATTGGGGGGTGGGAGGTAATGCACACAATCTCCCCATGAGATATGCACTTTCAGTCTGACTCTTTTCTGTTGGATGTTTCCAAATACACCA